GTTTCATTTTATTTAATTTGTTGAATGACGGAGAAAACCGGCTGCAAAATGTCCTAGGCCGACCGGTAATTCAGGTGGCCCCTGGGTGCTGCTTGCTTTTAACGTGAGGCGCGTGGGGCCCAGGGAGCGCGTGAGATTCCCTGAACACGAAGCACGCTTTCAATCCGTATTTCCCGGCAACTATTACCCAGGTGCGAAAAGTACGGGAATGCCCTCGGGTGCAAGAGATATTTTTATTGACCAACATACCCCTATTAAGTCGAGTTCCAGCTTCTAATACAAAAATTCGCTAATGAATCAAACTCGATTCGACGAGTTAAACTATGTTACAAGTTTAAAAAATTACATGAAAATCCCCAATTTACAAATTCCAACTAGCGTTACCGAGTCTGTCACCTAGTTTGGCTGTGAAAATTTGGAAGTATTTGAAAAGGGCAATAAGTAATAAAAGAGTCAAACCGAACTCACAAACAAAATACAACATAGTTCGACAAAAAAATTTAGGAAAACCTTAAAAGGGCATTTTGGTGATAAAAAAAACCGAGTCGAACTCACAACACTCAAAACAGCTCGTTTCGCGTAACAGATCTATTATCTAGTTGTTGGATAAGCTGAAAGGACCAAAATACCCACAGTGGAAATGGTGAGCAAGTGGCATTTAAAACAGTGAAGGTGGATAGCATGGGCTTTGTTAGTTAGTTAAAAAGACAGTAGAATAAATAAATACCAGCAGATTTGCTCAGCTAGCAGAGTAAATTAATAAATAAATATATAATTTAAATCACAATAATAATAACGAAGTAAATGAGAGGGAAAAAAATTATTTATCCATGTAAATAACAGTGTAAAAGACCAAAATACCCTCGAAGAGAAAATCTCACCGGCGGAAGTTAACGGGGACGATGCCGGCGCGGTACTCTGCGATCTTGAGGAACATGGGCATGGCGAGGTCGAAGTGCGGCCGGGGCGGGTTGCACCACCCGCCATTGTTGTTGGGCAGCGCGAAGTTGGGCGGGCAGAAGTTTGTGGCGGTGATGAGTATGGACGGGCTGCCGGCGTTGCACCACTTGCCGCCCTGCGCCGCGTCGCACTTGAGCTCGAAGCAGGCGCCGCAGCTCAGCCCGTTGTTGAACAGAGCCGTGCTAAGCGCCGCCGTGTTCACGCCGTACCCCTGGCTGTAGAGGTTCCCGTACCCGCACGCGCCGCCTGTACATTTGGGGTGAAGAAAAAAGGAAATCGAAGGTGAGGGATTACGGAATTACGAGATTTCTCGATCCATTAGGGTTACGTACCCATAGTGCCGGAGGCGTCGCTGCCGCCGTAGAAGGTTGCGTGGGCGGTTTCCCAGGGGCCGCCGGAGTAGACGCCAGGGATTCTGGCCTGGGAGAGCGTAAGGAAGCAGAGGGCGGCGGCTAGGCGGAGGAGCAGCTTCCCAGGAGCACACATTTTGCTTCTCTTTCTCGATTACTCTCTCTATGGACTGTGGCT